AGCTAGTGCAAAACAAAACAAAAGAGAACTAACAAGCTAAGCCAAGTATACTTAGCTAAAATAGACATTTAGGAATTCCGTCCTTATGCTCATCCGACCAAGTATAAATGCAAAGTCTAGTTTACTAACACTTGAACAAAAGGGACTGATAAAGGGTCTATAAGCAACCAAAGGGAATGACTTGAGAGACGGTCCATAGAGTTCAAATTGGAAAGGAAAAATTTGTGGCTTACAGGGTCTAGCAATACTAAACTTTTGCCATTGTGGTAGTAAGGAAAAAATATTTAAAAGGATTAACCAAGAGGTAACTTTTGATATCCAAAGTCACATTTGCAACATTAAATTTTATTATTGAGTTTTCTTGATGATATACTTACTATTGAATTTTTACTCTCGTGACTTTAACCTCTGGTTCCTATCCTATAATCTTGGTTTATTAGATGATAACTTAACTAGAATACTTTTATGTTCTAATATAAGATTTATTCACTAATAATTTTGTCTCTAAAATATCATTATCTTTGACTTTGATATTGTCCATTTTTTTATCTTTAAGTTTGAGTTAGTATAGGAAGATTGGCTTCGGTATTTTGTGTGCATGGTAAAATCTTTAGTTATGGGATAGCTATTATAAACTTGTCACATCATTCACTTCTTTGTCAATGTTCCTTATTCCATTCAAAGGGCATGATTGTATAAACAACTCTAGCCGCTTATTTACAATAGTCTATCTAAACCTTACTAATGGCTTTTGTTTATTTACTCATGAAGATTGAGGCCTTTAGCTTCTCTTTCTATATCACCTATATATAAGCAACCAAAAAGAACGACTCAAGAAATGATCCATAAAAGTTTAAATATAGAGGGAAAGGGCCCATAAATAAAAGTGCACTCCATTTTCTAATCGGTTAAAGGTCTTGAATACTTGGGGTTAGGCATCTTTGGGTTTAAATAGCAGTGGGTTGAGTGATCTCTCAAGAGTCTAAATTCAATAACTTACATTTATTATTAAAGGGGTCTCAAGTTCAACTCTATTAGTTGACTTAAGGGAATCACATTATATGTTGATATTGATATTTAATAAGTTTAGTTTGCCTTTAGCTGGGCTCAACTTGAGAAGTAGGGTGTTAAGAGACCTTGGGTTGAGTGTCAAAAGAGTGAGGGTCTTAGAAGAGCTATGGCTGTTAGCTTCCATCCACGAGAGTATGAACTTGTAGGAAAATATGGTGGATTATAAACAATTAAATGAATGACTTAAAAGATGATTTATAAAAGTTCAAATATAGAGGGCAAGGGCCCGTAAATATGAGTGCATCCCTTTTTCCAATTGATTAAAAGTCTTTGGATACTTGGGGTTAAATATCATTGGGTTTAAATAGTACTAAAGTGCATATGCAAAGACTAGTTTCTCAACTAGTTTGGGTGGAAACTAAAAAAAGGGTCCAATAATACTGACCTTTTGCCATCATAGCAATAAAGAAAAAAATCTGAAAGGACTTATCAATATATAACTTTCAATACTTATAATTATATTCGCGACACTCTCCCTTGTTTAGAAAAGATTGACATCCTCATTGATACATACTTTAGTCTAGACCATCCCTAAGGAAACAACTTCAAAAAAAGCTTATGGTATTTATACTTTATGAAAAATGCACCAACTTAAATGAGTTAAGGGGCAACTTCTCTATTTAACTAAAATACACTATCATTCATATACCTTGTGGCCTTCACTAATATGGAAATAACCAATCAAATTAACCACCCTTGTTGCTTTGGGTGTCACCCATCTTACAAAAGATGATATGCCCTTACTACAATATAACCTCTTGAATTTGGACTTCCCGGGAGGTCACCCAACTGGCTAAAATAGCATAAAAATGGAATTTTTAAATGTTATTAGTCAAACATACTTAATTTGGTTAGAAAAACTCATTCATTGACTTGCATTTGCTAATGTTAAGAACTCATATGATATTAAGTTTGGTCCTTTAATATTTATTATGTGATAGCTTATTATGTCTACCAAGACACCCTTGCTATCATTCCTTCATATGTTGGTTTTGTTTGATCCCATTGGCTATTTATGGAAATTGTTTAAATTTGTTAATTTTGCATTTTATGGAATTTAGAGATTGTTCTAAATACAATGGTGTTATTCCCACATTTAAATTTGCAATTTAACACTATTTCATATTTAATAAATTTTTGTAGGGATAGTGACTAGATCTGGCATGGACGACCAACCTAAGGTATAATTTAACTTCTGCTTACTCCACTAGTTAGGATAGTATGGAATTTAAGCTTAGACCTAAGCTAGACATAAAACAAGGACACATATACACATATCCTTGTGTTCTAGTATGTTGAAATAGCGCCTAGCTTTGTTTTGCATGTTAGTTCTAACATTGGGATGGTGGAAGTTTTAAGATTGTTCTAACGTTGCTCCATGCTTCTGTCCCTTTGTTCATAGGTTGGTGAAGACATGTCGTAAGATAACTTGGGAGTTGTTAGTTCAATAGAATGATTATTTAGATGAAGATACATAGGAGGCTATTTCCAACATAAACCATAGGAATATTTTAAGAATACTCTATGAGATTATAACCATATTTCACTATAAATGGAGACATATCAATAATTGATTGTTAAGTGCTACTATAAACAAACTAGAGCAAAGACAAACACTTATCAATGCCCATTCCCTATGGGAAAAACCATAAAGAACTCTATAAAGATCCTTCAGTATTACATAATATTTAAAATGTATATCATAGTGTTAAAACTTGAGTCTTATCAAAGATAAATCCCAATAAACAACTATTTTAAATAGCCACTAAGGTATTGGGGAGACTAATGGAGCTCATCAAATTCAAAATATCAAATCCCTATGGAATATATCAACTTCTCAAATGAATCCATTATTGATGTGTATGATAAGGGTAATATAAGCTTATGAGTTTTTTGGACTTTTTAGGAAGTCACTAACTCAGTACTATTTAAATCTAATGACACTTAACCCCAAGTATCCCGAAACCCTTAACTAATTGGAAAAAAATGCAATTTTATTCATAAGTTTTTTCTTTTATATTTGAACTTTAATGAATCATTTGTCAAGTCATTCCCTTTGGTTGTTTACTGTTAAAAAATATTTAGAATTTATGATTTGATGTAGCGCACGTGGTTTTGACCCTTTATCCTATAGTGATTTACCATAAGATAACACCACGAAGCGAAACCTAAACCCTCCATGTGCCACGTGTCAAATGCCACGTGTCACATGGCATATGTCCATGCCACGTGTCCACAGGACATTGGTGTGGAACCCATGGTTCAGAGCCTTGGGCCACTGAACGAAGGAACGGTACCAAACTCCCAAGCTTGGAGCCAAGGAGTGACAGAACTGAACCATAGAGCAACTCTCGAGCATAAAGCCCAAGGAGCGAAGGGACAGGAGCTCGAAGCGACTTGGAATAATTCTAGAGTAACCAGCATCCCAATGCCAAAACCAACACGCAAAACGGAGCCAAATGGAGTCTGGCGCTATTTCAGCATACCGGTGGCCTAACGCAAGGACATGGGTACTCCACTAGCTAGCATGGAATGGAACTTAGGCTTAGACCTGAGCCGGACGCAGAACAAGGACAGGCATGCAAGTGAAAGCTAGACTATGCCTCAGGTTAGTTAGCCATGCCCAACCTACCCACTATCCCTACTATACATTTGGAACCCCCCACAACCCCCCTCCCCCCCCGCTCTTGAGGAACACACACTTTGGGCTTTCACCCCAAGCCTGCCTTAGTATCAAGAGTTAGTCTCTGGGATAAGCTTGAAACTTACTAAATATGGAATGCCTCTAGATTGCAAATTTGGACACGGGATGAACACCATTGTGTTCAGGACAATCTCTACATTCCGTAGATATGCCAAATGAGCAAATCTAGACACTTTCCATAAATAGCATTTGGGACCGAAATAAGACTAACACAAAGGGCATGATAGCGAGGGTGTTTGGCAAATACGATAAGCTATCATCTAGCGATATTGAGGGACCAAGCTCGGTTCCCAACACTAGCAAGTGTAAGCTAACATCATAAGTTTCTCATCACCATATCAAGTCTACTTGACTAAATGACAACTTAGAATTTCCTTCCTTAGTGCCCTTCTGATCTAAGTGCACATGTGATGACTAATTTCTTAATTAGTTTAGGTAAAGACTGATAACGGGTCCAGCAATACTGACCTCCTGCCATTGTGGCAGTAAGGAAAAAGTGTCCATAAAGACTAGTCGACAGATAACTTTCGATGCCCGAAGTCACATTTGCGACATTTGAAGTGATCAATGAGAACTATGCACTCTAAGTATTTATATGTGTGGAAGGGGGAGAGATTGTATTAGTCATAAATAAAAATATTAGCATAAACCTTTAGAACTGTTAGATTAAAGAATATATTTTGATATTTTAAGTATAAAGAAAACACTACTATTATGAGGTCTCTTGTATTAGTATGTGGACATCAATAAATTTATCTAAACTTGATTCCATGTGCTTGACTTTCAATCTTGGCTTGAGGATAAATCATCACAACTTTTTCTCATGAAACTTCAAATTGGCAATATAAACAACATCATTGTGTTCTAGCTGTTGGTGTTGATCAAACACTCATGTTTCTAGCTTCATACTTGTTAAGTTGTGGAAGTTGGTGGTTCAAAAAGAATCACATGAAAAGCATGGTAACTCTAGTTGATCTTGGAAAAAAAAGTTTATTATTCTAAGCATATCCTAGGTATATTCACTTTTTTAGCAAACCAAAAACCTATCTTGATGCCAACCTATTTCTAAAGATTGTAATGACAGATGTCTTCAATTTAAATGTGACTAAAAATAATATGAAACATAAAAAAGAATAATATTCAAATGAATCAAGAAAATGGAGTAAAGAGAGTTGTACTTTTTTATAGAAAAACTTATTATGAAGACCTAGCTCGAAGAGTAGGGTTCTACCTTAGCGAATCAGATGCAGCGGCGACGAAGTCCCTACGAGAGCCCTCCGCCGTCGTCCCGGCGGAGCGGTGGCAGCCGGCGCCGCAGCTCGAGCCCGCGAGGAGGCCGCGGGGAGCCGCCGACAAGCCTGCTGGTCCGAAATATCTCGCGTGACACGAGGTACAAATCCTCTTTTGTGGGCAGTGGTTTGATTCTTTGCCATTCCAGGGCGGATGATCTGAGAGGCCCATTCGAGCGCTATGGAGCTGTCAAGGATGTGTATCTTCCCAAGGACTTCTACTCCGGGTAAGCGCTTGGGGCGTGATGCTTGAGTGTGTTTTTCTTTTCTTTGCTTGTTTAGACTAAAGTAGAAAAAGAAAAAGTTTACATTTGCTGAGACTTTAGTGTTGAATGAAGGGCCGTGAGAAGATCTCAAGATGAGAAGCAAGAGAAGGTCAGACTTGAAGATGGTCTTTGTAGCTAAGCTGTAGTTCTTGGGGAGATAGTGGCGTTCTTCTTTAGCATCTTTTTGAAGTTCAGTGGTGAAGACTACCAAGTCGAGATAGATTCTAAAAGACCCTGGCCTGGCAGCTGTTTGGTTCCACTCGTCTTAGAAGTTGCCAAGTGAAATCTGTAACTCGCACCGCATCTTGCAGAGAGCCTCGGGGATTCGGCTTTGTACAGTTCATCGATCCTCGCGATGCCATTGAAGCGCAGTACAAGATGAATCACCAGCTCATCAGGGGCCGTGAAGTTTCAGTGGTTTTTGCCGAAGAAACCCGGAAGAAGCCAGCAGAGATGAGAATGAAGGAAACGTCAAGGTATTCTTTTTCCGTCAAGTCATTCCAAGACTTCTCTCAAGTGGATCAGACTGAGCGTTGTTCTTGTTATGTATAGGGACAGGCCAAGCTCAAGGCGGTCCCCTCGAAGAGGTTCTATTTTCTTTTTCTGGATATCTTGTTAGCTTGTAGCTTGCAGGTCGCTCGCGGTCTCGTTCGCGGTCACCGAGGCATCCCTCGTCTTCACCTAGACGTCGTCGTCATTCCAGGTAATCTAAGTCTAATTTATCTTCTGTTTTCCATCGTGTTTGGCAGGTCATATTCCCCATCCGAGAGACGAGGCTACGATAGACAGGATAGACAGTACTATTCCCCTAGGCCGCGTGATTCCTACAAAGGATCTCCTCCCTCGGGCTACAACAGAAGAGGTCTTTAAATTTGAGGTGTTCGAGTCACAGTTTCTACGGGAGCTTACTTCGTCTTCTTTTGGATGCAGATCATTTTCCTCCGGTTTCTAGCTACCCGCACTTCATGCATCCAGGGATGGGTCGCTTTGACATGTTTGGGGCGCACCATCCTGGGGTGATTCCTCCGTATCCGCCGTATCACCACCCAGGCGCTAACAGGGTCTGGGATATGTAAAAAGTTCTTCCTACCGCAATTGTTGAACTGTTTTTACACTATTTAATTCAGTTGTCGTTGCAGAGAGACAATGTTTATAGCAAAAATATCATTTACCCCGTTTCAGATATTCGTACTCACTTTACGTGGATTAACAAGAGCACTTAAACTAAAAAAGGTGACCTTTCAACTTGGCTAACTCATGCGACGCTTCTTTGTTGCAGCTTTTCCACAACCACAGCAGCATCAGCAACGAGGTGGGGATGACCACTCGGGCAAAAGGGCCTTGATGGTTCACAGCTGTTTCATACAGAGTAAGGTGAGCTCTCAAAGTTCAAGATTCTGCACAAAGTCTATAAAGCTTCTGGAGGACAGTTGGGGCGTTTGTCTTAACTAGAAGTCTAGACCTCTTGCATTTGACAGTAGCTGCTTTTTGTAGGATCGCAGTCGGGCTGAAGAAGAGACGATGGCTCCATACCTGTGCATCGTCTCATTTCTTCTCTTGCTTTCTTGTAGCTCGGCACTGGCTAAAAACTACGATGTATCGGCAGTTTTTGTTTTCGGGGACTCTTTAGTGGATTCAGGGAACAACAACAACCTCCAATCGTTGGCCAAGGCCAATTTTCTACCTTACGGCAAAGACTTCGACACGCACAAGCCAACAGGTCGATTTGCAAATGGAAGGCTGGTCCCAGACTTCATTGGTGAGTTTCTCTGTCACTGTTGTTTGCCGCTTATATGTTTTCTCGAGCTTTCAGCATCATTCCTTGGTCTTCCGTTCCCGGAGACGTATCTCTCGGCGGGAGACAACATCGACCACGGGCTGAATTTTGCATCATCTGGAGCGGGCCTGCTTCCAGCCTCTGGGAATGTGTTTGTAAGTGAGATCTTGTTGTGTTGCTGGTTTGTTCTTGTCTCAATCGTCAATTATCTCCAGGGAGAACACATTCCGCTTCCAAAGCAGGTTGCGAGCTTCAAGGAAGTCCATGCAAGGCTTGTGAAGAAACTCGGCCCGGAATCGGCCTCCCGCATGGTCTCCAAAGCCATTTACTACATCACAATTGGCAGCAACGATCTGGTTAACAATTACTACCTCCTCCCCGGGGCTCCGCTGAGAACGCAATCGCCTCAAGAGTTCCAAGACTCCCTCATTGTAGTTTTCAGGGAGCAAATCAAGGTAGATTCAAAAAAAATTGTCCAGCACTGAAGGTCGTGGTTCTCACTTCCAGACATTATATGGTGAAGGAGCGAGGAGATTTGTGATTGCATCACTCACGGCACTCGGCTGTAGTCCCATCAATCTTCTCAAATACCTCATCAAGAAGCCAGGCGAGTGTGCTGCGGAGCCAAACGATGCAGCAAAGTTGTACAACAAGGCCGTGGAATCCATGCTGAGCGAGCTGAGAGAAAGCTTGCCAGGAATCAAGCTCCTCCACGGCAATTGCTACGACATGGTCTACAAGGCGGCCTTGAATCCGCTTGCAAATGGTACGTGACGAAGTTTTCGTTCCTTGTTTTTGGTTTTCGCTCCTTGAAAGTTTCGAGATCACAGGATTCGACGAAGGTGACAAGGCATGCTGCAGTGGAATCGGCAAGAACGGGGCCATTGTTTTCTGCCTCCCAGACGTTCCCTCGTGCAAAGACCCGTCGAGGTATGTCTACTGGGACGAGTTCCACCCCAGCAGCAGAATCTACGAGATCCTGGCTCGAAACTTTTGGAGCGGTGGCAAGGACGAGATTTATCCCATGAACATCCAGCAAATCCTTTGAGGCTGCGACGTTGTTCCAGCGATATTGTTCCAGCGATTCAAGGCAAAAAAATAAGATCAAGGAATAAATGTTTCCACGGCCAGATCCATCCACCAGACGTCGAAAGTTTTAATGCTGCCTGGGTTTGGTGGAAGAAGTCGACCATCTTCCTAACGGAAGCCAAAGCTGCCATTATTTTCTTCTCTTTCGGAGCATTTAGTTCTAGCACAGTGCTTGCTTGAAATTTTTGTCCTCCTTGTCAGTCTCTAGCGAAAAATCAAGTTGTTCTTGAGCTTCTTTGTAGCTTTTTCTCTTTTTGGGTCGCTTCCATCTACACGCTTTTCCATAGCCCGGCATTTATATGAGCGCTCCAAGCATAAAAAAGATGGTCTCGAACCGGAGCGAGTGAATGTTTGGTGAATGGGTTTTTAGCTCCTCCATAGAGTTTTACAAAACGGTCAGGCTAGAAGTTTCTATGGCTTTGATCGCCACCATGGTTATAGTGCTATCACTGGTAACATCTGAAGCTCAAGCCAAAGTTCCAGCGTTGTTCGTTTTTGGAGACTCCATGGTGGATGCTGGAAACAACAATGCTCTAATCACTCTGGCACAAGCAAACTTCCCCCCCTATGGCAAGGACTTTGATCAGAGCCAGCGTCCAACTGGGAGATTTGCAAATGGACGGCTTGTTCCAGACTTCTTGGGTAATGTTTTTTGTGATCTTCCAAAAGTTTTGTCATTGATCTAACTTACAAAGAGCGCTCGTTTGCTTTTGATTTGGTGATATCCAGCATCGCGCTTGGGACTTGATCTAGCTCCAGCATACGTTTCTGCGAATGACAATGTTTTGCAGGGTGTAAACTTCGCATCCGCTGGATCTGGATTGCTCGAGTCAACAGGCCTCGTCTTTGTAAGAGTTTCATAAGAACTTCTTTTATCATTTACCATTGAATTCATTGTCCAAGCAGGGCCAGCATTTCTCTCTTCCAGCCCAAGTCGATCACTTCCAAAACGTTCTGGGCAACAACATCACCGCCAAGCTTGGATCCAAGCGAGCCCGGGAGCTCTCGTCCCAAGCGATTTACTACATCACCGTGGGCAGCAATGATCTTGTCAACAACTATTACCTCCTTCCGGCCTCGCCCCTGGCCGTCCAATACACTCCCGAGCGCTTTCAATCTCTCCTCCTCGCCGAGTACCACAAGCAACTCCAGAGGCTGCATGGATCCGGCGGCCGCAAGTTCGTCCTTGCTTCTCTCACGGCTCTGGGTTGTAGTCCCATCAACTTGCTGCGATACAACGTTGCCAAGAGGGGCAAGTGCGTGGATTTCCTTAACGACGCCGCCGCTCGATTCAATGCGGATCTCAAGGCCAGCGTCGTAAAGTGGAGCTCATCTCTTCCCGGGTCGCACATTGTCTTTGCAAACTCGTTCGACTACGTTCTTGATCTTGTCCGGAACCCGGCCGCTCACGGTAAACCATTTTTCTTCTTCTTGGCAAGCTTCAGAAAAAGATGATATGTTGATCTTCAGGATACAAGGTTGGTGACCAAGCTTGCTGCAGCGGAATCGGCAAGAATGGTGCCATCGTTTTCTGCCTGAGAAACGTCACCACCTGCGATGACACCTCGAGTTATGTGTACTGGGACGAGTTTCATCCGAGCTCAAGAGTCTATGGTGAGTTGGCGGACAGATTCTGGGAAGGATCTGTGGAAGACAGTTACCCCATTAATGTGAAACAGCTTTCCACTCTTTGAACTCTTTGAGACTAAGAAAGAGATTGCCTTTTTAATATATAAACTTATCTAAAGGGTTTAGGGCTTTGTGACCGCTCATGACAATTTGGAGGGAAGTCGAGAGTGGCAAAGTTGTGGAACTGCCAGCATTGAAGAAGCTCTATCGAGTGGTTATGGAGCTTGGGAGTGGAGGGCAAGGCACGGTCCACCTGGTCATGGGGAGCAAGCTCTTAGCTGCAAAGTCACTACCAGAGACGGCACAGAGGGAGCTCCGGGTCATGCTCAAGCTAGCCGGCTGCCAAGGGACAATACAGCTCTACGACGTGGTGCTGGAGGAGGATCGCAAGTTCAAAGGTGGCCGATGGTGGGGAACCCTAATTTTGGAGCTAGGCTCATGCACGCTGAGCGAGAGGCTTCATAAAGCTGGCGGGAAGATGGAGGAGCAAGAGGCAGCGTTTGTGATCAAGAGCCTGGCTGAGGCACTAGGACGGGTGCACTCGCTCGGAGTGGTGCACAGGGACGTGAAGCTGGACAACGTTTTGCTCACCAGGCTGTTGCCACCTTATGAGGTGAAGCTGGCTGACTTTGGGCTCGCCACAGACGTGGCTGAGGACATGCACGAGAACTGTGGCACCAATGGATACATATCCCCGGATGTGCTCAGGGCTGGCAAGGATGGCTGGCCGTTTTACTACACCAAAGCTGTGGACTTGTGGGGGCTAGGGTTGATTGCGTACGAGCTTGTCACTGGGTGGGGGGTGTTCTCTGATGTTTTTGATGTGGAATGCTTTCTCAAAAGTGCTGGGGATGCAGAGGTGGAACGGGCATTGAAGTGGGGCGGGGGTGTGTCCAAAGAGGCGAGGGAGCTCATCTTGGGGATGTTGAAGGTCAATCCAGAGCAAAGGCTAACGGTGGAGGAGGTACTCCGTCACCCGTGGGTTGTGGAGAATACTGGTCCTATTGAAAAGAAGCAAAAAACTTTGTAACAGCACGTTGTAGTACTACAACTTTTGTATCCAGAATTCGTTATGTAGGAACGTAAAAACGAAAACATTTTGTTTTTTTTTTTGCAGGATATGATTAGCACATGGAATTAGATTAGACAACACGGAGGATGTGAGCATATACAAGTGAAAATCTATGTAGAATTCGCTTAGAACCAGGGATGCCAAGTAGGATCCATCATACACAAGTTCTTTGGCCGCAACGCTGCTTCCACAAGCTCTGCCACTGCTGCTTGCACAGACACAGGTGGCTCGCTGGAATTGTCGTCCTGGGAAACAAAACAAACCGCTGTGAGCTTCCACAAACACAAGGACTGCTGTCGCTCACTTACCTCTTCGGGGTATGTTTGTGGAGCGATGCCCTTGACGCGAGCGAGCACCTGGTCCACGTTTGCGGTCACCTTCTGCTTGAGCTCCGTGGGGGAGATGCCACCCACAGCGGCGTTGGGCATTCCCGGTGGACGGCGCCACGACCAGGAAATAAGTTCGTCCCTGAAGAACATCGCCAAGTGGTTTTGAAGGTGTTGGTTCTGCAGCGATACAAAAGCTCGTCAGTTGGAATGAAAAACGAAAGAGGCTGTTTCTCTGCTGACCTTGGGTGCTGTCACCGACTGTGCTGCCGCACACATTGCGGACACGAAAAGGCCCTCGACTCCAAAGGGAGTAAAGAAAGTCTGCAGGTTGCGAGTGAGCCTGAATGGAACCGGCTCAGCAAACTCGATCATGCCATTGATGTCGTAGGCTGTAAGGAATAAACAACTCACAAGAGGATCCAGAAGAGCAAGAGAGCATACCGGGATGGAAGTCATTCTGGAAAACCTTGCCCGTGTTCTTTGCAAATAGGATCTTGTTTGGAGACCGGCCACCTATTTGCAGCATGTAGGACATGAAGCCAGACAAGGCCAACTGCACAGCAAACTGCTTCTTGAACGTCCACAGATGGTTGGAGCTCGGAAGTGTCTTGTACATAAACTGCGAGAAGACGTTCTCGTTGACAAGCGAGGTGATGATCTCATTGTACGTGTTTAGCCGAAGCTCCAGCACGGCTTCTGGGCTCATCTGTCCTGTGATGGTCTGGTTCAAGTGCTCCTTGAAATGCGTGATAGGAACATCGGCTTCGCGTCCATATCTCGCACAGTTGATCTCATACACCTCACCGAAGGTGCTGTACATAAGATCCTCCTCCACCAATCGGACCTGCTGAAGAATCTTAGTTTAGCGATAAAAATATGGAATCTTAGTTTAGCTATATATATATAGGGATTGAAAACATACCTGAGGCCAAACAGGGACGATGATGGGCGTATGAAATGCCAGATGCCTGCGCCTTGACTCTTTGTGCTTGTCAAAGAGTCGATTTAAAACCCGGAATAGCTGCACCATCCGCTCGTCGCTTCTCGCGCTCGGGGTCAGAGACGTCTGCACTAGGAAATGTCGCTGAGAGCCGTCACTTCCGATCATAGTTAGCCTTCGGTGACTGCTTCCATGTCTACGAACAATCGGAACGTCCGCTCCAATCCTGTCTAGCTTCACTGTATGATCAGGTGCTACTTCCTGCAGGTTAAAGAAGCCAAATTATCAGTAGAAAAACATACACAAGCTCTGCTAGCTTACCTTATCGTTGAAATACTGTCCTGGAACTTCAATGTCCAAGACGTGGAACTCCCTAAGTTGTCTGCTCTCTTCCTCAAGCTTCAATACCGCTGGAAGTCTATCCTCAACATTGGACTGGAGGACACTCTTCCAATGTTTCAAGCGGTCAGTCAGCTCGGCTAGAGTGGCCGGAAATGTTCCTGTGCTTTCTGGATCAAGGTCGCGTTCAAAACCTCTTTTGTACTCGTTGACGAAGTCCGTGTGCTTTGCCACGGTATCAGACGAAAAGCAAGCTTTGCAAACGCCAGCAAGCTCTTTCTTCAGGGACGGAGGGACTTCAGAGGTGGTCGCAGTGGGAAATTTGTAGCAGCGATGAAGCAAGGCGTGAACAACTGCTAGCAATCTTTCCTCTGGCAAAGGAACAAAACGTGCTCCGACTTCGGTTAACATAACCTGGAAACAACGATGCCGGTAACAAATGAAGCAGGGTAAATATCATGTACCTCCATCTCCGCCGCGAGATTGTTGTGTTTTAGCCTCAGCATGTCCATGATCTCCCTTGCAGCTTCAAATGAGCTGACAGCCGTGGCCCAGTGGCTTCGACGTAGCATGGCAAGCTGGTCAGCGGCGTTTGTTGACTGTGAAGTATCTGCAGACGCAGTTGCATTACCGTCGGACCCTCCAGCTTCTTGCGGTGTCGTATCAGCACTTCCATTTTGAGGTTGCGGCGCGGGGGTCTGCGAGCCTTGGGGGCCTTCAGAATTAGTAGTAGTACCAGACGCGTCCGGATTAGCAGCAACCGCAGCTACAGCAGCCTGAGCACGTGTTTGTGACCCTTTCACAGCATCCGACTTCGTCGCAATGTCTCTACGTTCCAAGAGATGAGTCCGAAGCCAATAGTACAAGGCCTGCAATCCGAAAGGGCATAACAATAAGTTCCCAAATAATCGAAGGGCAATTACTAAACTCACCTGCGGAAAAAGTGCGACCAGCTTCGACAGAACATTCTTGCAATGCAATGCCTCGGGTCTCTCCAGAGAAAGTAGAAGCTGAGGTATCCACGGAATCCAGACCCAGTGAGTTATCTGGTCCCCGTACTTTTCGAATGCTTTACCGACGGTTCCATTTTGGTTATCGAAGCTCAGCAGATAAAGCACCCTGGCAAGATAGCTCCGACCATACGAGCTTCCATACTTGATACCTTGCAAGAAACAGCTCACTGCGTACTCCAGCCACAAGTCTTCGCCGGTTTCTTTGTAAACCTGCAAACGGATTTCTCAGTGAGCTGGGTCCTAGCACAAAATCACGCTCCTAACTAACCTGATCGCAATGATTTCCCCAGCTTATCCATCCCTTTGGAAGATGCTTGAACAAAGAAATGGCCGTAGAGAAAACCTGGTTGGCGGTTTCACTGTCATTCATCTTCTGCAAAAACTCTCCTTTCAAGCGGAAGATTTCAGCCTTGTGTTGATTCGGAAAATACTCCAAATTCGTTGTGTTGATCAGATTAAGTCCAGTGATTAGTTCGCCTTTCATGTCAAGGTATGCCTTCGCTTGTTCTCTTATTTTAACGAACGCTTCCTGCATGAGAAGATGCCATACTATAAATGCTACAACAGCGATAAGAAAAATACCGACCTGAACTTCCATAGTAAGGAAGCCGTACATTTTGTTCAAAACAGTAACGCAGACTTCGTGCAAACCTTGTTTCCGAGCAACGTATGCAAGTTTGTTGACGCTCCAAGCTTTGTCTCTGAAACCAAGCTGGTGTAACTGCGGATTTGTCTCTTGCAGCGCCTTGAACGCGTTGATCACAAGATTGTACATGTGATTCCTCCATATCATCAAATCATTCCAGACCGTTAACTCGTCCCAATCGTTCGGAATCCTGAGCCTCCAAGTTTCTAAAATGTCTTTAAGATCCGCATACATGCCTGCACCTCCTTGCAGCTGTCCGGACCCTGCCGGTTGTTGCTTGTTTGCGTTTCCCAGTTCTAGTAGTATTCTTGTTGATTCCTGGAGCTCGACCAGTTGCTGAAACTGCTGTAATAGTGGAACGTGCGACTGAACTGACATCTCAGGTAATTGCCACCAGTTCTGGAGTGCAAGATCCACACCCTGAACGACTCTCATATCCGCCTCAGTCACACCGTTCATGCTGCCTTCATGAAGTGCGACATAAGTTTGAACCATCCGCAGCTTAGGTGTTTCTTCCACCTGCGCCTTCGGCAAAACGTCTTTAAGATGCGCCCAATCTGGAGACTTCCAAAGGCAGTCGAGGAGAATCTCGTAGTTCTCAACACTTTTACCAAAGTCTGCGAGGATGTCCCACTGATTAAGTCTCCGAGCGCAGGATATCCACTGCTCCTCCCAGAGACACATCTCAGCTTTGGAGACGGAATTGCTGTAAGATCCCTGAGTTGCCTTGCTCATAGCCTGGTAAAAGAGATCCTGTGCCCTCTGCCACAACCCATGCTGAACTAG